TCGTTATTACTAACTAAAGACGATCAATTGCCAAAACATCAAAACTAGTATAATTTATAAATTTGTTTCATTTTCCTTGGTTTTGAAAGACTTTACCCAATATAACAATGATTGATATTGTATCAAAATTACAATTCTATTTTCGGCTATAAAGTCACCAAAATTAAGGCTGGTATGATTCAATCATGATTTATAACAAATGATAACTTTTTAAAAATCATTGATTTAAAGTTATTTTTTCAAATATTACAAATATTAAGTTATAGAGATGAAGACTTAAATCAATTACATAGTTAATACAACGAATATCATATTTCTTTAAAACTTTTTCACATAATTGAGAGAATTTCGAGAAAAAAATACAATGTAATATACATTAAAATGAGCATGCTTATGACAAATGAACAATAAACCCTTTTAGTAGTTATTTACTAATGGACTTGAGCATGATAATTTAGTTTTTATCTAGCATTTCATGTCTGTAGATAACTAGCAAATTTAGGAACAATACACACACCGAGCTTGTTCAGGAAAAACACAATAAATCTTCAAGCATATTTGTAATTCTAGAATTTCGGAGATAAAATGTTTGCTAATGCCACAAAGGTATAACATCTGTAGAGGAAGATAAGCATTAAAATAAAAAATGGAATTTATTGATATCACTTAAGAAAAAAATTAATACTTGTAAAAACTAATAAAAACGGGAATTTAATCTTACTAATTTTAATAATGTTAAACCTTTTTCCTCAATGTGATATAATTTGGTTTAAATACCAATTTAAGTGGAAGGAACAGGACAACTATTAAATAGAACTTTAATATTATCAAAACTGTCTATATTTAGTTGTAAGTGTTTGGTTTGTGAAATAAAGTTGTTTTAACAGTAAGAGGACTTTTTTGATAAAAATGTCTTTTTACTGACCCATCTGGACAGGTGTTGCTACAAGCTTATTCCATAACGTGAAAACACATGAGAAAGTGATGAGACTATAAGTACTCATATTTAAAGAATTTTGTGCGTTGTTTTAAAAAAAAATCAAACGGCGAGTATCTTGCACCAAACCCCTCAAATGTCTAGATATCTATGAGTGAAAAAAAACAACTAAAACGAAAAAATAAGGAACATGAGTCAATTAAAAAACAGTTTCACTTTTTTCTGCTATTTAAAAGTAATTTAAGGGATGAAGTAATTCACTTTAACAATTTCTTGGTTTTAAGTAATAAACATCTAAATACCAGTATTTAAAAATATTATTTAATCAAGGTTTAATCTGAATCTAAGAAAAAGCAGATAATAGGCGTGCGTGTGAATAATCTCCTACACGCGCCAGCAATTAAGTTCGCACCAAACCCTACTTTGAAAATGCGCGCCAAACGCAACAGCTGCGCTATCCTGCACCAGGTCCGGGTGAATGAGGAAACTAACTTAGTCCCCCGCCTTTTAACATTGAGTGAACCGGCCCTGAACGATGGCGCCGTCTGGATCCGTCAGGAGACTGATGCAGTGCGTTCAGACGTTTCACCCCGTATACGCCAACGACCGATGGAGCAGAAACTATGATTCATCTGAAAAGGTCACCTGTCACCACGGGACGTCAATGGACGCCCAGTTGCAGTTTTGTCGTGCAAATAAGTCTCCGCAGCCGTCAGTCTCCCGTCATCTATGGCTCGTATTGCCTCGGTTGCCTCGGCGCCGGTTTTGGATATCGTCCACTTTGCAGTATTCTTTCATCACGGCGCCACGCAAACACTTCACAAACTTAGCCATTTCGGAAATGCTTCCGCCCTTGGCTCGAAAGCTAATGATCATGTTCTTTTGGACATCCGATGAATCACTCGATTTTTGAATTGCGACAACTGCTGCACTGTTTTCCGCTTCCACCTGACATGCTTTATTTCCTCCCCATTGGTAGTGCTGCCATGAATCGCAAAATACATTAGTGTAAGTTTTGAAAAAACAAACGAATACAGCAAAATAGCGTTTATATAATCTTATCGAGTACATTCCACCATACATCTCGAAATATTAAAGAAAACATTTGGACTGTTTCCGAGAGTCTTTTTTGATCTTCTTTATTCAGTGGATTGTCATAGTCTTCTATCAACAGTTATACCGGACTCAAACCAACAATCTTTAGCAAAGGTCAGAATTCCAATCAGATGAGCTACTACTGGGGAGAGCATTCAATGCACAAAATTATTAGAAATGGAGTTTTAATGACATCAAATGTGTCGAATTGACAAACTACTGTCTTGGTTTTAAAATCAAATCATCATCATTCAGGGTGTAGGTAAATGCAGAGCTGGATTTCCCTTTAAGCAAAATAAGAAGTTGATTAGAGCTCCCATTAAAATAATCTTCTGTACTAAAAAGTTAGTATTTAAAAATTAATTGATTGAAGCAATGAGAAACTAAAGGTTTGTATTGATAAATTAAAATTGTGTACATACAAAAAGTACGTTCAATTCTAGTAAGAAATTTGTTAATTTGCATTTGCATTTCTACAAAAAGTACCTCTCTCATAATTATTTTTTTTAAGAATGTGAAGAACTTTTTTCTGAAAGAGTGCCCCAATACAATTTTGTGCTTGGGGATCACAGCTGTAACGTATGTAAATACGGCTGTGAGTAAATGTAATTGAAATAGTAAGAGGAATGATAAGTTTAATTTTTTATGAGTGTTAGATAGTGTTTTACTACTGACTTGTTTAGGAGTTAGTTAATTAGAAATAGAGTTATTCTAGAGTTTGTTCTTTCATGGTTCTTTCATGGCGTGGCTTTGTCATACAATGGGATCGCTGCAACATGGCAGTTTGAAATTCTCAGACTAACTTTTCATTGTTGGTTGGGGACACAAATGGGGTAGGGATAGGATAAAAAAGTTTCACTTATTTAATGTTAATGCTATAGTTTCTATGTTCAATAAAATGGTACATTAAGCTATATTTAAGTCATAAAGAATAAATACAGATAATGCAGACTATGTATGCATGACATAGACATTATGTAATGACACTAGTTATCTGCTGATCATAAAGCACTATAATATATGGCCTTCAATTCTGGATGTTTAATATATATGTGATTTTATCCTTGCATGTGTGAATAATGCGCTGCAAATAACAGTTGTGATTTACTAATTTTTGTTTCCTTTGTAGACGTAAGAAAGGGTTACAACTATGGAAAGAATTGCATATATGCACTGCAGGTACTTTGTTGAATTTGTTTGGACCTTATTAAGCGATGGCTGAAATCAGGTCAGGCATTGCAATATTATCATATTACGTAACCGTTCCCAATAAAGTGACAAATTATATGCTATTGTAGCACCACTAGTTTTAATTAATGAAACATTTCCTATGTATAGTATTTTGTTTTTATTTATAAAGTTTACATGTGATCTATCCATTTGCCCAAAGAACCACCAAAGAGTTTTTGTACAAGCAAACCCATCAAAAGGTAGGTGCCAAAATGAGTATAAGTACGATTTAAATTCAGTGTGATATTCTTCATCAGTTTTGGAAAGGAGAGAGTCTGATGTGAGAGAAAAAAGCCTTGAAGTGTATTTTCATTTCTCCAGGCAAGACGCTGCTTTAATATGACATATTTCCATCAGTAAATAAATGGGAGGGAGAAAAAAAATCCATTTGGTTTCACCAATAGAAAGAATTGAAATCAAATGCATATGAATTTTTATGCCTTATCAACAAATCAAATAGGATGGTACAATTCATATGAATACACTAAAGAAATCAGGTGCAACAGTTCACAATTTGTTTTATTGTTACATAAATAACAATGAATGTACCTTTAATACAATAGTTAACAAATTTAATCAATACTGTAACATTACAATAACCTATATTAAAAAACCAACACTACAAATCCTCTTTATTATAATATCCTAACATCATAATAAAATTTAAAAATGTCTGCATTACATACATCATTATGATGCTATAAAAATCGCAGAATGTATCAAGTTTCAATGTTTTTTCCCTTATCATATGAAAATATACAGTTATCTTTTGTGCAGTATGGTAGATAAGGTAGTAGAACTCAACTCTTTTTAATACAAATTTGAAATTGTCAATTGAAACACAACAATTTAAAATATTAAAACAAATCATAATGATAATGATATGCTGTTCTAGGACTCATTTCTCAATGAGCAGTTCAAAATAAACATGAGTATAGCCAGTATTTTCATTGGGGAGGGGCAGGGAACCAAAATAAAAATCATTATAATTAATTAAGAACAAGTGGCATCAAGTAATATCAGGGCTTGATTGCTGTCAGATTATGATGGAAGGGCAATACCGCACCACAGAAATAATTATTAAATTATATTATAAATATATAACTATTTTTATTAAATTAATAATTCATTTGGGGTGCATTTCAGAAGTCAAAATTTTATAAACCAAGCACTGAATTACAATTAAATAACAATCAATTAGGTATTAATTAAAAAAATGTATAAATAAATAAAAAATATTAGCATAACAATGAACTTTTTCTAACAATCAAAATTGCAATTATGAAGTTGATAAAAAAGGTTAACTTTTTCATAATATTAAATCTTTACACAAAAAAGGTTTTTAGAATGTAACTGAAGGAAAACAAATTTAATCCACCAGAAGTTTTTCTGGATATTATAAAAAGAGTATCTTAAATATTTAATTTTTATATTTTTTCTTCTTTTCTGAAATAAATTGCATGTCTTTTATTCAATAAGCATTATCCAGTCAGTTATTCTCTTAATATGATATATCTTATTTAGATGTTTACCCTCAGCAAGGTGATGAATGATTGCTGTTCTACAAGGGATGCATGATGGAGCAAGAATTGCCAAATGTTGCCTTAAAATTAATCTAAGAACAAGTAATTTGGAAAAAAGTGTGTACAGTAATTTGATGGTATATTTTATATGAAAAAGGATAGTGGTTCAAAGATTTAGTGGAGGGCTGGTTGGCCCCCTGCTCCCCCATGGCTAGGTCCATGAAAATATACAAATAAGATTAAAAATATGAGAACATGAAAATTGCTACAGATATACCTCTATAAAATGTTTTGCGACTTTTTCAAACCCATATTATATATATTATATTTATATCACATACTGCTATTAATGATACCAATGTAACAGTATATATAAAAAAATTTCACATCATTCATATCACAACAGCTAGTTCATTCTATTCCTTATGCAATTCTCAAAAAATATTAACCAGTAATTTTTCATAATCATACTTATTTGAGCTGGTATATCCATTCCATTAATTCCAAATTCCTTTAGTTCCTTACATTGTAACTTCCAGAAATTTCTATTTCCATTTCACTTCTTTCACATTAAAAGAATGAATGTATGTATGTATGTATAGTAACCAATATCATATATTCAGGGCAAAAAGAAACAAATATTATAAACCAGGAAACAGAATCGAGTATGGTAAATTAACAATTATAAGAATCTATATACTTCACAAATCTTAACATATCAATTCAATTCTAAATATCAAAACAAATGATCATAAATCTTTAAAAAAAAACAATTATTGTGGAGAACTGTTACAAATTCAGTCACTTATGAAGATCATAAATTCTATTATAAACAAAAAATAAAACCCAAATTCATCAATGTCATTATCCACAAACTTTCTATGAAATAAGGAAATCAAATTGTATGATTATCACTACTAGTTAACTTTAAAGCAAATGAGACATCACTGCTCAATATTTTGATACAAGAGTGAAATTACTTTTAATCACTTTTATCACTTTAAAATTAGAAAACTAAAAATAATTAACTTTTAAAAAATAAGCAGTATTAACAAGTCATATTTCAACAAAAACGAATTTCAAATATTTCCTATCACATTTGCAACCCTCTTCTAAATAGTCGGGGGAAAACCAACAATATATTGAATAGCATGATTTAATTTCTGCTCTGAAATGTTTTGAACTAGTTCCAAATTTTATACATTGCGAATTGAGAAGATTATATATAATATTTAAAAGTTTGTTCATTTTGAAACTGTGAGTATCACTGAACAAATGAAAGTTAGAATTAAATATACATAAAACCATAATTTAGCATTTCATGATTAACCTATTTTATTACTGAGTAACAATAATTGCAATTCTCTTAAACAACAAATAAATAATAACAAATAACACATATAACAGAATTGACTTTCCTAGCTGCCAAGCCATTTGATTAATCCTATAAAGTATTTTTAACATTTCATCGCAGAATGACATCTTGAGATGGCATAATCACTTCCCCACTATTTGTGGATTTCTGTACATCATAGGATTTTTCCTTCAGCAGCAAGATATTGTGTAGGAAGACTACTGTAGCTGTGTAAGGGACCACAGAGCAACTGGTATGCTTTACAGCAACATACACACACAGCCCCTTTCTCTACATTGCAATGCTTCCAGATTTAACCAAGGCTCTGCATTGAATGGTTAATTTCACCACTTAATCTATTTTAATTGAATAATTTCAAACTGGGAAGCATCATCAACAGGTATCACTTGCAAAAAATTGAAATTAATTTTACTTTTGCCACTTATTGAAATATAATTCATATATCCCAGTTAACAGTGCTCTTTAAAGGATCTTAAAAATATGAAAACAATTTGCAAACCTACTGGGGAGAGAAAGCAAAATCCCTCTTCACAGATAAAAAAATTTATCAAATTATAAAATTTAAAAACCCTTACCCATTTGTTTCTGTGCTGGTCATACCTATCTCTTCCTCATTTCATTGCAAATGAATCACATAATGTCAGTTTAAAGACAATTTTTTATTGTCTGTCCATTCATCACTATATATTAATATTAATGAAATTTCAAAGTGAAGTGTGGCTAAATTGTAATAAAATTCCTCTTAGAATTTCTGGGATTACTTGTGGTACTTAATCTGAGACACCTGATTAAAATCTGATTAGCCAGAGTTAGCTAGATTGAAGCACCTTTTCAAGGTTAGAGTATTGTTGGCAATTTGGAAATAAAAAAACTGGAAAGTCTTAAGATGGAATGGCGTGGAAACAATAATGTATAATTTTATTAAATGGAAAATAAATTGTTAAATTTTTGAATTTATAACCATGAGAAATCACACACTGCTCAACACCATGTTCAAATAACATACATAAAAAATAAACAATACTAAACATTGAAAATAAAAATGAAATCAATACTGAATTACACACAGGGCCGGATTAATATCTTAAAAAGTCCTAAGCATGGCCAAACTATGGGGACCCCTAATAGTATTGAACTACATAATCAAAATGAATACAAAAATAAATTATAATCTTGAAAAAATTAATTTAAAAATATTTTTGCATATTTATGAACTGATATGAAATTTTTATAAAAAAATATTAAGGGTCCTAAGCACCTGCTTCAACTGCTTTGCCTTCCCTGATCACTCACATGAGTATATGGTCATTATAATGGGGGAAAAAAGAATCTGTACTGTAAGCCTTTGTTCAAGTCAGTGATGATAAGTTGTTATTGATTATGAAGGGTCAATAGATCAGTCTTCACAAAACAGAAACCTAGCAATATTGAAACCCTTGAGAATATTAAATTATTTTATAACTCACATTTTACTCTAATTGAACGTTTGTAAAATAATCTTATTATTTTGTCATTCAGTTTGGCAGTAATGGGAATGCTTTAATCATGTTTACAAAACATAAGTTGTGTCTTGCAACATCTGAAGTCAGTATCTCCATATAGTACTCAAGTAAAAATAAATCTCTCTATCCTGAAAATACATTAAAAATAATTAATTTGATTTTATACTTAATTTTTAAAGTTGAAGTTTAAAGTAAAAAGTGAAACATCCTTTTTAAATAAAGTACAAGATATCGTGACTTTTGTTACTATTAATATGACTGAAATGAATTGTGTATAAACCTGAACACACACACACACACACAAAAAGTCAAACTATACTCACAAATTTTAAAAAAATATTTATAGAAAATTCAGGTTAATGGGGTGATCCCACCAGTTTAGGTTCCGATAAATGATTGTCAGTACCATTTCTAAGAGCTGGTATCATAACTGTGTCAGCTTGGTACTGGAAAAAATAGAAAGTAAATTCTCATTTTATTATTTTGCTAAAAATCTCCCACAGACTTTCATAAAATTTCATGTAATCTTACTTTTCTTTGTCGCCTCTTCACATATTTTCTTACAAATGGAGAAAATAGATCGGGATTTAAATCTGTTTCAATTTTCTTGGCATAACAATTGTAAAGACAACTCACAATGGTCCCAATAAATAATGTTATTAAAAATCCAAGAACAATGTACCATAGATATGAAAGACTGTATAAGTAGAAATACTCTCCAGAGCTGGAAAAGATACATTTCCATAATTATTTATTAGAAAATTGATCATGGGCTCAATGGAAATTGCATTTCATTAAAATAAAAATATGTTTAATACTCTACTTATTCATTCATGTAGGTAATAAGGTCAGGCAGTAAGGTCATAAAAGGTCTCAATACTAATTGTTGAAAAAGACACTACTTGCAATACTTCATAGCACTTAAAAATTTGCATGTACGGGTTTCGAGAAAAGCTAAACAAGCTCATAAAATTTGAGGGCAATCAGAGTATCAAGCACAGCTAGTATTGCGTGTTAGGGAGATCACCAAGGATCGCACACAATCTATGTGATATTTCTTCTACTACTAATAGTATTGGAAGTAATTCCTCAGTAAGCTTATCTATTGAATCATAGCTCCCATTAGTTCGGTGTTGATGATGGCAATGTGCAGAGGCATGTGTAGGATCAATAAGATGACTTCTAAGTGAAGAAGTGAAGGCTCATTGGCCTAAATAATATATGAAATTGAGTTAAAATGAGCAACTTTTTGCCAAATAATATAATAAAGTATTTTTTGTTCTAGCACCATTGGCTTTTATTAAAAATAAATTAAAAGAAAGAGGGAAAGGATGGGTTTTATCAATCCTTACCTGGTGTTTGGTTCTGTTGGAGTGACAGGGGTTGCAGTAGTAAAAAACGTCAAGTTTCCCTCAAAACAACCATCAGTGGTTGTAGGAAGCTTTCTAAGAGGGGGCTTGGGTCCTCCAAAACCAAGCCACATGGAAATGCACAAACCAAACAGGAGGCCAACAAAGGCTCCCTGTAAGAAATCAGTGACAATAAAAAAGATTATTCAATTCTTAGATAATTTGACAAGTTATAAAATAGAAGAAAGGTCCAGGGCTACTGGACAAGAAAGAGCTAGTCACAAAATATTGGTGTCAGCAGAAGTGGGATTTTGGATCTTTAATTTAAATTCTCTTTGTTTAATTAATAGTAATTTTTATAAAAATGTACATAAAGCAGCATGCAGTATGGTTGTATTAAACAATGAATGTTTTAACAATCTGTATTGGTCACAATATGCATTTGATGCATAACTCATAATATATGTATATAAATATATTATATTGTGGTTACTTGGATTTTGCTTCATATTTTGAAATTTGAGTACAATGTATCATATGTGTATAATAATGGGAAATTCTCTTTCTTTTTTAAAAAAAATAATTACATTGTTATGACTCATGATTTTAGGCACAAAACTGTTTAATTTCTAAGTAAATAACATTTAAAAGTAAAATATAATTGCAAAATGATTTGTTGATACAGGATATTCACAATAATGCTGAACATTATCCTGCATGTTTTATAATACTGAACTAAATTTCTTAATGTCTTCAATTTATTAATGTATGCTATTAGCTCAGTTTAATATATTTTTGTTCGATTAATTATTATTAAATTTCTTCACAAAATACAAAAAAAAGGAAATCTTTTTCAATATAAACTTGAAGATCAGAAAACAAAATGTCTAAATGTATTTTTAAACTATTCATCTCAACATTGGGGGGAGTTGCCCCCTCTGAAACCCACCTCTAGTTGGAAGTATTTTGCTAAGACAACCAATCAAATAAAATGGACAAATATCCAGAGAACATGTAAGTGTACAATGAAAGTAAATGGGTACTGGATGTATATATTCATTCAAATTATTACTCAGTGTATTAATTTGATATTATTTTCTTATCACTCTATTCATTAAATCTGCTTTTTCTTTATTAAAAGAAATACAACAAATACATACCACTTCATTTGCAAGTATTACAAACATGCCTAGAGTGAAAGTGGCCAGCAATGGACCACCAATAACTCCAAAAATTGTTAGACTTGCTTGAAGTACACCACCCAGGAACTGTGCCAGAAATGCAACTGCCAAACATACCAGTCCATACAAAAAGGCTAATATTTTAGTATAAAGACTAGTACGTCTCTCAGGTAGTTCAGATTTATAAAGTAATCGATATATTGGCTGCAATTAAAAAAGAAAAACATTATATTGTGTCGAAACAAAATTAAACAATATCCCAAAAAACAAAAATAAAAATTAACTGCAAAATATTTTTAAATCTCAATACAAAAACAGAATCTCACTTTCAGATAGTCCTCCAATGTCACAGCAGCTAGGGAGTTGACAGCAGATGACACCGTACTGAGTGATCCACTGAATATTCCAGCCACAAAAAGTCCTGACAGTCCTGGTATATGTGACACTGAATCTACCACATACAGAGGCATTAGCTGCAGAAAAAAATAAAAATCACATCAATTTAAGATTACAAATTTTCTTTTAACTTACAAATACATTCTTATACTAATGACAATTAGAAATTTTATTTATTATATTTAGTACTACAAAGAAGTTGCAAGAATCAAGAAATTATTTTAAAGCAAATTAAATAATAATCTATCAAATACACATCATGCAAAAGTAAACATATTTATTTAATCTACTTATTTGTGACTATCTATAATTAATGTGTTACATATAATTGTGTTCATTTTCTTTTTTTTGAACCTGTCAATTTTTTTTGAAAATGTACAATGGACTGCTGTGCATAGTACATTTGTAGAAAAAGTCTTAAATAACTTTTTATTACATCCTGGGTTAAAAAAAAATAATAGAGAGATAGGACACAATTAAATATAATAAAGCAGAAAATACACTAAGACAAAAATGAATTTATTATTAGTTCATGTTATATAAATTGTGTTCTAATGATTAACCTACCTGTTCTACTGAAGCAATGCGACCAAGATCAAGTGGATCACAATTATAATATTTTGAAAATATAGCCAGGCCAGAGAAAGATGTTGAAAGGCTTAAAAGACTTAGAATAGGCCAGCTCACCCACAGTGCTTTTTGAGAGGCACGCAGATCCCTGGAAAAATAAGATATTGTTATTTAATTTTAACTGACCTACCATTTCTGTATTTGTTGAAATGAATTTGTTCTTCATTTTGGTGGAAAGGCAAAATACGTACTGCAACAAATTACTTACTGCTGGCAAGAAATACAAATTTTAGATCTAAAAATATTTTTTCTTTCTTACATACTCACTCTCCAAGTACATGAATAATATAACCAAAATATTCATCACTCTGAAATGACACCTAATAATAATAAGAAGAAGTACCAGCTACCCTCTGAATAGAGAGTGAAATCAATTATTGTATCAAAATAAAATTCTTATCTACAACTCATCCCAAATAAGATTCTTGGTATAAGTATCAATAAGTATCATCAATCTTTACCTAAAATTACAAAATATTTAAAGTTTCTTGCAAAATTCTTTATCAAACTTAGTTGGAGCTATACTTGCCAATAGTTTTCACAAGATTGGAAGACTAACTACTCCTTCCAACTCAAATAGACAAAAAAAAAAATTGAATTAAAAAGTTCAATAATAGTATGTTTTGGGGAAAAGCAGACATGTTTAGTATGTTATCAAGAGTTTAGTTATAAATAATTTAAAATCTAACTAAACATTTGGACATTTTTCAGATAATTCTTATTTTTTTCTGAAAGATATTATGGAATTATAGTATTAATGAATCAACACAATTACGAACAGATGTGTTTTAAAAATTCTAAGAAGAATATAGGCTTAACTTATTTCAGTTTATCTTAGTACTATATTTTTGTAGTTTTGAGGAAATTTTAACTGTAAAACATCTTATTTATTTTATTAAAACTAATTTTAAGTAAATGGTTCAACAACAACAACAACAACAAAGAGCATGTAGATACTTTTATTTTCATGTATTACAATAAATTTTGATATTAAATAAACAGAGCAAAAATGTAAAAGCGTTCTTGTTTTCTATTTATGAAGATATGAAAGATAATACATAAGATCTTACCTGAGTGAAATCAATCGTTGTACTTGTGCTTGATTTACAGCATAGAGTGAAAGGTAAGTAAAACCACCTCCTATCACTAAACTCCACCATGTATGTCGCTCCTTGGGATTCAAACTGAAACTGAATGAAATTTTTCGTAAATTCAAATTATCTAATCATATAATATTTTTAATTGTGATCCCTAACTATGAGAGAATCTCATTATTTTTAGAAGTTAAAATAGTTTTAATTTTTGCAATGACAATTTTGAATTGCCTCACAGTAAGTTTTAAGATAAGCTTGAGGATAATGATATTTGAGAACTGAGAGTAATATTTGAAGGTAATACAATTTTATCTACCAGAAATAAAAAGAGCAAGAAGAGTTTTTCTACACAAATATATTAACTCTTACTTATCGAATTCTATTCGCTCATACTCGGCAGCAATCCTCCATATTTCATCAACTCCTCCCACCTGTATGGCTGCAGTTACACACACCATGATCACTGCTGCGAACATGAGTAATGACTAAGAACAGAAAATTAATGACCTCAAACAATTTTTCAATTCACAAATAAAAATAAATCACATGAAACAACATACACTTACAACTATTAAGAACAAATATAAAAGGAAGTCACAGATCAATCAACAATGGAAAAATAAATATTAATTGGCTTTATTAACTTTACTCACAAAATATACTACAATCACTTGTTTATGACATTGGGATCAGTATTCATCCATGGTTGCATAACATCCCTACAGAGATTATCTATTACTTTCTCATATAAGTTAGTTCAGTATTATAAAATGTGCAGAATAGTGTTCAGCATTACTGTGAATATCCAAAATTAATAAATCCTCCTTCAAATATATTTTGATTTTAAATGTTATTTACTTAGAAATTAAACAGTTTCATATCTAAAATCATGAGTCATATAACACTCAAATTTTAACTCTAAAAAGAAAGAGAATTTTCCGTTTATTGTAGATAGAGGTAAAGGTGCACCATGGTGATACTCGTATGAGCCAATTCAGCACCCTTGATATCTTTTCATACATCTCAAGCATTCTAGCAGGAACGATTTTAACAACTAGATTAATAACTCCTTTTGCTTTCATAGCTCTGTGGTTGAGTTGTAAAAGAGGGCTGATGTTCGCTTTGCCCGATTCTTAACTTATGAAATACAATATTTTAAACATTGTTTTTATGTCTGCAACCCGTAACCCGACATATCAAAGACTGATTTTAGTTTGCAGAATTTGCGATGGTTGTAAAATGAGCCCCGAACTATGGTGCGTATATGAGCCGCAAACTTACGGGCTCGTATTACATCCAACTTGTGTTTGTACTATTTTTGTTTTAGATGCCACGAACGGTTCTTGGCTAGAAAAAAAACTAGTGGTGCTACAGAATGTCACCTTCTCATACTAGTTAGTTTCCTAATTTCTTTGGTCGACGCTAGCTTTTCGGACGTGTCCCAACCTCTTGCCAGCTGCCTTCTATCGCTGTCCAAACATATTTTTTTCAAACATATTGGTTATATTTTTACGAAAATGGCTTTAAGCATTACTACAAATGTGAAATTTGAAGCTCTCTAGAAAACTATTGTGATATTTATTTCATTAGTAAAAGTTTGAAATGACGCAGAAATGCATCACAGGAGCTTCGTTTGAATTGGATATTCCAAGTTATAGATAAGTTGTTAGTAAGGCAGAAATTACTATGTTTCAATATTACGTAGTAACTATTTCCAATAAAGCGGGAAAGTAGGAGCTGTTGAAACACCACTAGTTAATAATAAAGTCACTAATCGCGTCGCCTCTTTGACTCGATATTTTTCTTTAGAGACCCAGAGAACCCTCATTTCACACACACACACACACACACACACACACACACACACACACACACACACACACACACACACACACACACACGCGCACGCGCACACGCGCACGCGCACACGCGCACGCGCACACGCGCACGCGCACACGCGCACGCGCACACGCACACACGCACACACGCGCACACGCACACACGCACACACACACACACCCGCGCGCGCGCGCATACACGCACGCGCACGCGCACGCACACACACACACACACACACACGCGCGCAAAGAGAAACATTACATGATGTACCTGAAAGACATCGGTGATGACGACGGCCTTCATCCCGCCAATTGTCGAATAAAAGGTGCACACGAGGCCCACCGCCAAGATGGCCCCCATTTTCGGGAGCCCCGTGACGGCCTCGACGGCGAGCGCCGGCGCGTACAGCACGATGCCCATGTACAGCACCATCTGCAGCGAGAAGGCGATCGACGCCAGTAGCCGCACGCGCGGGCCGAACCGCATTTCCAGGTACTGGAAGAAAAAAAAACAAAGCAAATAATGCAAAATATTATCTTCATCTTCGAGCTTTTTCCAGCCGACAGCCGGATTCCCTTTGCGTCCCGACGGGTCGCACATTTCACCATTCACTAGACATTAACACACTCAGATGGCTCCTCTGATTTGTGGTCAGCAGAACGAGAGGCCTTTCGTGACAATGCATACATGAGAGACACGAGACAAATAACCATGCCCAAGGTGGGACTCGAACTCCTGACCCTTCAGACCGAGGCGCTGGGTCGGTACACGCTCTAGGCACCTCGGCCATGCAGGTCGGCGAAAATATTAGAATATATTAAAATAGCGTAATGGCGTACCAAAATATTACCCCCAAACCCTAATTACCTAAACGTTAAATGGAATCATCAAGTGACAGTATCAACAGCTCACTACAAAAAAATCACGTATAATACAAGTACATTATTCTACAACACCTTGCCAGATGACATTAAACGATTAAATTCGACACAAAAGTTTAAGTGCCAAGTAAAATCTATTCTGCTGCACAACTGTTTCTATGAAATTACAAACTATACCGAGCATCCAAAAGTAAAGTAATATTAATTTTAACAATGGCATTTAATATATTATATATACCATTTGGATTGTATAATTCTAATGAACCCGTAACAAGTATAGTATTTCAGGTTCTGGGTAAATGACCCCCATCTCGATGAGATTTTCGTCCAGTGTCCCTGATCCTCGAGCAAATGCTTGAGATGGCCCATTGTTTTACTTCTGGACATGTAACTACAAATTAACTTCTCCCGTAGCATGTCACACACGGTTTTAGACTCTTTTTGACGTAAATAAATAAATAATATCCTATGCGTCTGGGAGGCCTTATTGCCGGGTGGGGCGGGGAGAAGCCGAGCAGAGTGGAGCTAGTAGCGTGGGTGGAACGGGAGGGGCGAGTGGAGCGGGCAGAGCAGAATGAACGAAAGGACTGGGGGAAGGAGGGTAAGGAGCGAAGGGGGAGATGGAGCGGAAGGAAAGGGCGTAGCGGAGAGACCGGAAGAAGCGGGCGGGGCGTGACGAGTGGAAGGGGGCTGGATGGGCGGAGCGGGAGTTGTGGGCAGAACGCCCACGACAGGCCAGGTAGAGCGGAAGGGTAGGAGGGCAAAGCGTGCAGGGAAGGTGAGACTGCTCAATAGACGACTGTCATCAACAAATACCAGGGAAACGTCTGGTAATATAATATAGCATGGCGCCTCCGGCATTTTCATGTAAAAAAAGTTTTATTTGTGCTTTGTAAATTCATATTGAAAACAAATCTAATCATTGGCAGGTGGTCGGCTCCTCCATTTTCGGTCATAGAAAGTTACATGGAAAAGTATCGATTAAAATACTACTTAAATTTTTATTTCATTGCAAAATTCCATTTAATTATCGTCATTCTGATGAATAAAGTGTAATGATTCATGTAAATGCGGGAAAGATAGTATAATAATTTACTGCGCTTTCGTAGATGCATTGAAACCATCAAACACGTATGTTTAAAATCTTGGGGGAAAGTTGATTAGGAAACTTTCGGTACAAGTTCTTGTATTAGCTTCAAGAAAATGCTTTGAAGAATTTAGTATATAATGCATACTACAAAGCGAAGACGTTTCTACAAACCTGTACTTTTCTTTTGAACTTAAATTCGTAAAGAATGAATTATACAAATTTAATATTTATTGGGTAATTAGAGGAAGTTTGGATATTATGGAATAGTCGGGTAATATGTTATACCGAACTTATTCCTTTGTTAAAAGCTGCAGCCAAGTGGAACAGTCAAAAAAATACTTCAGAATGCTCGTATGATGCTCTGCAGACAGTGTCACCCGCTTATGTATACGTAAGCTTCTGCGGCTCGAGATCATAACTTCTTGGCTATCCGGGCTCACTACCCTGAAGAAGCCTGCGATATGGCAGGCGAAACGTCGGCCTCTCAGCCAACGACGCGGCGTCACCTGGACAGCCAAGAAGTCGTGTCACCCGCTTACCACGTGCAACACGCATGCTACTGAAGGAGGTTTGTTTTCCGATTTCCAAAAATTTACGCATGCAAGTTTTGAAAAGGCAATTCTATTAGTTTGTTTTCTGTCTAATAATTAGAAACTAAGCGCAATGTACACTACAAGACTTGCTTTTTATTACTTTATGCTCGTTTTACACTTCTTGCACTTCTTCACTTTTAGGTTGACACATTGATTTTAAAATGGCATATCAGGTTATATAGAATACTAGGTCTTTCCTTTCAGTGAGAGCTGGAGTAAATGCCATATTCTGAACCAGATAACGATGATGCAGAATGTATCTTCTGTAATGGACAGTTTCCTGAAGATAAACGGGGGGAGGTTTGGGTGAAATGTTTGTCCTGTACCCTGTGGGCCCACCTTGACTGTTCTGGAGCACAGTAGAAATATTCCATGAGTGATATTTGCAAGTAAACTATCAAAACTTCTCGAAATGGTATTTTATAATGTCAGATTATCATTACATAGCTTTTTATCAATCTTATTTCATTTTTGTCATTTTGAAACTCCTAGTCCATATTGCTAGACTATTTCATATTACCCTCCAAATGCAACGTTAAAAACCAAATAAAATTAGTTCTATTAAAAAGTTTGTTTTTAAATTTTCAAAACAAATATTTAATTGAAAATTTTTGAAGTTTCGTTACATTTCATATTCCGTTCTCTACTCACTTTCATTATAAAGTACTGTTAACAAATAAAAACGGTATTCCATACTACCCTAACTTCCTCTATTTTTAAAATTGATTTTCTTTACATTCGCAATTGATCTCTGTATAAATTTTTTTCTATTTTCGGTGCCCTAATTATCTATTTTTTGAAATAACGCTTTGAGAATATCATAAAAGAGTAAAATTTATTTTTTACAACAAAGTTTTGGTCATTTTTGAGGAAAGTTTTTTGGAGTCGTTTTTGAGGAAATGACGTTTGGTTTCAAAAATTCGCAATTTTAAGCTCACTGACATTAAAACAACTTTTGTCATTTTGAGAGATTTGCCGCGAGGTAGTTTTCCACGTGTAATATCTCTAATATATCATCAGTAGGTTGATCCTTCAGACATGACTAATCAGAAGGAAGCAAACTTCTTGCGGAATACGGTTACCCCGTAACTTATGACGTCACTTGGTATGGGCTGAGCCCCCTGTGGCGTCGTTAACACGAGGGCCAGAACCGTTACGTCGGTGAAAGGGCGCTGCGGGGGAGGATGGGGTTAAGCCTGAACTTCCGGGATTTTGCGCTCTGGCAGTTGACGCAGACAGCGTGGCAGAGCCAAATTTAACCTTAGGTTGTAAACTCCTAGGAAGCTGGCCAGCGAGCCCTCGCTTACCGACAGCAGGCGAGCATACCTAGGAAACTTGTGTGGTGGGGGTGTAGGCCCCAACTTATTAACTCGGCGCCATCTGAGCCCGCGTTCTCATTGTTTGCATCGGAGAGCGTAGTACGCGTAGGTACAAGGAGCGTAGGAGTGTGGGCGAGATGTCCGGAGTGTAAGGGTCAGACGATCTCGGGTGCTTTCTGGACGCGGTCCGCCAGACGGCGACCGGTTTAAATTTTGGCATCAGGCCATGTGACGGTAATTGTCACGGGACGGAAGTCCGACAGCTCGCATCACGCGTGGCTTTTTTTCCGCGGTAAAGCAGGGTACTGGAAGGAAAAGGTTGCCGGAGTGTTTAAATTTAGCAATTTATTGTAACTAGTCTGTAACTTTTCAATATACAATTTTTATTTTTGTTATTTGAATTTATTCTCATTTCACTACGTCACACCCCAAACGACTCGTCCCGGGGAAACGCACTCACCTGGTAGGCGCTGGTGGAGCGCAGGCGGAAGAAGACGGGCAGGAAGCCGTACGCCGCCACGGGAGTGACGAGGCCGTAGCCGAAGTTGATGACCACGAACTGCGTGCCGTACATGTAGTTCTCCGTGCTCACGCCCATCAGCGTGATGGCGGACATGAAGCTTGCCATGAGGGAGAAGGCGACGGGCAACACAGACAGGCTCTGGTTACCCAGCAGGTACTCCTACACAGCGAGAAATCAAACGGGAACGTGTTACCTCCATCAAACGGATGTTGCGACACAAAAATTGCGGCAAATATGAGGGCTAGCTTATTTCCAAGGTCCTGGAAGAATGAGATTTTTCAGTTTGTTTTTCCATATTTTGGATAACATCGAGTACGATACTTTGATGTTACTGAAATTCTACATTTTATTAATACACAAAGTGGATTATTTTATGGCTAACATGCACGAGGTCTCCACCTATTTCGCTCGTCATTAGCAACAACCTCTACTGACATCAATATCCACTAAAACAGTAATATTTTTTTTTAAGAGGTAAATTCAAAAACATTAAATTTGACAATCCGCAATGGCTGTAAGGGCAGATCGCCAGTGCGGTGGGGCGAAGGGTTGAGTTCCGGCAGCGGCGGGGCGATAGGCTTTAGCGGGCACTAGTGCCAACCTGTCTCCTCGCACCTCGCGCCCCTTCGAAATCCTGCGAGATCGGAGCGGCTGAGTTTAGCTCAGAACCAGCATTCCCGCCCACTTTGCAGCGACTCTGACCGTCCGGAAGATGGCAGATTTTCGAGACTACCATATTGCTAGGTTGCTGCCGCTGATGGGAGGAGAATTCTATCGGCTGTCCGATCTGATCCGTAGTTTTCCCAGGTTTCGTGGTCAGGTGAGTGTCAGAGCAATGTACTTAAAAGCGGGCCCCGGAGCGATCTTTCCTTCCTCTTCCTTGTCGCTCCCTCTCCCCTTACACATACACTACCGCACGAGTCTTGACTTTTCTAGGGTGCAGCAGGTTCTCCCAGGGGAAAGACACCTGGAGAGGAATATCTCCCACACGCTGACGTGAAGGTCGGTGCCGCATATCACCACCCAGTGCAGGAAGATCACAGACACCCCCAGCAATACGAAAAAACCCCATAACGGATACTACAGTACCTTAAAAGCAGTTGACATGCCTGGGAACAATTTACCAAACGGAAGGATCGGCTTGCTACGAGGTTTTCGATTTCATGGTCACAGAGGAGAGAAGATCTTTTACTAGACAGGCTGCACTTAGATTCCACCATATCGTGTGTTGTAGAAATTGATTTCTGTACTTGGATTATTCTTGTGTCTAACAGTGTGTTGGCTCCTTTTAGAACATATGGTTATTGATATAATTGCTGTAAATAATGTTTCTGGGTATTCTTGCGGATAAACTACTGACTGCTTAGTACATGTTGAGTAGATCTACTTCCTGAACGCTTGAGTATAACAAAGGTTTGTTTGTAGAAAATGTGACTTTTCTTGTATATTTCGTCCACTAAAGTACCTTAAAAGACGAAGGAATGGTCGGAATGTAATACAATCAAATCTTTAAATTTCTTCTTACGATGTAACAGCCCGATTCAAACTTTAGTGTGACATTCTCAGGACTGGTCTTTCTAGATCGCGGGAGATGGGCCGTTAGCAGGAGATAGACGCATCGCCCGGCCCTAAAGGCCCATTCACAATTGAAACATAAACATAAGCATGGCGTTAACATAAAAGTCAGGACTACGTTCAAAAGCGGACTCATTCACAATGCGTTCGCATAAGCATAACACGTAAGACGTTAACTTAAAAGCTTGTAAGCTTTAAGCTTCTGTGCTTATGCTTAAGTAGGACATAAGAAATGAACCAATCACAGAACGATAACTGAAAATCGAGAATCGAAATTGGAGCGAAGTCGATAGAAGAACTAACTCCATATGGGACATGACCACAGTCGATACCTTGAAATCGATTCTTACATCCAACCAATAGTAAGCCAGAATGTCTCACAGCCAATAGAAACTTTTTGGCTTGCGTTTATGTTAAACATTGTCAATACTTCAGTCTATCACATATGTTAATGTTTATGTCTAAGCACTAGGCTTATGTTTTCGTTTGCATTGTGAACGGGCCTTAAGGGTGAGGGTGGGAGCAGGTTAAGGAGGGAATGTTTGCGCTGAGCCCGCGAAAGCTTGTGGAAGTTACTTTGCCGGCATCTGCCTGAAAATGTTTCGAGGAAATAACCACGGAAACGTCAATAAGAGTAGTTAGGTCTTTTAGACACTGGCTCCATGCGCCTCAGCTTATGGAAATTCGATACTATATCACTCGAACTTAGAAGCTCTCGGCTTGCGATCTTCAGTTACACGCTCGCAACTACAAACAGAATCAAACTCAATTAGTACTCCTTTGCACACTTCTTATTTCAAATCATTAACTTTCATTTACCAATCTTCGGCCAAAAAGGTTCAGTTCAGTAAGATTTAAAGGTGTTCCTATAATCCTGATTTAATCCTTAGTTGATCGCTGCCTTTCTGATATTATCATACAATTTTTTTATGAATCACCTCCTTTGGATCATGTAATCTATTCTGAAGTCCACTTCACAATTGAAGATAATTATTGTTCCATCTTGCTGATATTTCTAGAAGGTATTAGGTACTATTATATATCAGTCAGAAAAATTCTTTGTGTTTCTTATCGCCCTGAAAAGCTGATCAGAAGAAAGTTATCTCAATACATTTTAATTAATCGTTACTGGCACTCAATTTTTCAGACAGTGAAATTCATTGACAGTGACAGTGGCACTCATTTTTCAGACTCAGATTCCCAATGAATGTTTCGACCCCGTTTTCCCTACCTGCCGTACCATTCATCAATATTATTTACAAAATTATCAGTTTACTATCATCTTCATCCCGTTATACACTCAAAGAGTTAGTCTCGTTGAGGGCATCTAAAATCTTGTTCGACTGAAGAACTACATGACGACTGGTAGGTCTTGCCATATAAAAAGTGCGGTGGAGGGATGTATGTGCTATGTAATTGGATTCAGACTTCAGTGTCTCGATTTGGGAGTTCATTTCGATTGCCTGCCATGGAAAGAAACAAAGAAAACTGATTAGTGGCATTCCTGACTCTTCTGCAGTGTAGTCAAGTCGGTGCCGTCGGCTAACTAGTGACATTGCTATGGCCGCGCAGATTTCTTTCTAGACTTCCAATATCCACAAATGGCAGCGAAGGTCACGCTCGCTCGCGAGATGAAAGGGAGAGTTTGTCAACGGAGAGGGCTCTTTCAATCAGCGTCGTTCAAAAGCCCTGCCGACGCCACAGTAGCCATGGCAGCGCCCGCCGTCGCTTCTTTTCACATCCTCCTCCAAAGGGCGCCTCCAGAAAATACTTGGGAGGGAAGCAATTCGTAATATAAAAGGAAACCTTTTTGAATCGAAGTTATTTAAAATAAATATGTTTTAACATATATTGAAGCTGAATATATTAATTAATTAATTTATTAATAGTTTTAAAATATATTTAATATTGTCATTGTTTCTTTAAAATTCGAATCTGCCGAACAACCCACCAGGTGACTGATAGCTGACACAGCATGGGAGGCTCTTGGCGACTAATTTCGGAGGCAGAAAGAGAATCGATGAATGAAACAGAAGACGCTTATAAAAAGCTATTAACATTCACATGAAGTAAAAACTTTAAATGTTGTTTACTGCTTTTATTATAAAAACCCAACTGAGTTTTTATTTCCGAATGGCATTCTCAAATTAATTACTTGAAGGTTATAACCATTTTATAACATTTTTGTTTTGGAAACTTCAAGCGACGATGGAAAAACTCAGGTTTGATTTTCTGATGAGAGGAACATCAGATGAAAAACCATCAATAATATGTTTAACCTCAATCGGCACACCGGATGGCAGAACTCCAGATGAACTTCAAAACACAAACTCGCACAAGGAAATAATTACACACACAAATATTTTGTAAGGTAAGAAACACACTAAAAATGAGATCAATTTAGAAAAGTCTGGATTACATTATCAGGAAATCTATAAAAAACATATTTGGATGAAGAGGAAAATTTGCAATTTGACAACTATTACTTAGAAGAGATTACAGAGAAAAAAGTCGAAAAATCTACACCGAGTACCTCACATAAAACAACTGAGAAGTTATTAAAGAAAATTTTAGAAGATAAGCAACAAATTTCTGAAGTAAAAATCTTGAGAAACATGGCCAATGATTTTATGATTAATAAATTTAATGGAAGAAACTCAAACGCACGCCAATGGATAAATGAGTTTGAAAAAGAGTGTAAATACTGTTTTGTGGAATATTTTACAAAAAAATCGTAATTCCGAAATTTTTCCTTGAGAACTCAAGCACAGATTTGTACTTCGCATGATTTGAAAAGTACTTTAGAATCAGAATGGAACGATTGGAAAAAGAACTTTATCGAAACTCTTGGAAATAAAGTCTGGCCTCCAATCAAATACGCGTTCTCATTCAAATATCAAACTGGGTTTTTGCTTGAATATACTCTTTAAAAAAACTCCATGCAGTTTCTTTCTATTTATTTCGATCAGCATGGTCTATTCCTAGCTTTATCCCCATATTATTGCAGGGTCAGCAAGGTCCCCTATGATGGAACGGGTCTTACTCCCTCTCGGCGCCCAACCCAGAAGACGATGATCAAAGTGATGAAAGGAAGGAAAGATCGCGCGTATTTCGTTATTCAGCGTGCTCTGGCGTTTGGCTGACAGTCATCAGGGAAAGCATGTGAACTTTATGGGAACGAATTCTATTCCGACCGATTGGTGTCACAAACTCTCCGATGCTGCATCTCATCAAGCGGTGAGTTTCTGTCACCTTGCTTCTGGAGCGGTAATTTGTTGCCTATATGTTTGCTGCTAGCGGTTCATCCGATCAGCATTGTGTGTTATTAAAAAAATATTTTCAGCAAGTTAGAAAAACCACGAAAACTCCATGACCCATGAAATTGTTCATCATTTTGAATAGATCATCGTTATTGGCATAGATGAAAGGGCGATGGACTTCGATTATCACCCTCCCAGAGCCTTCCTTTTTGTCATATTTCATTCCTAGCGCGTTGATGTGAAGAAATTCCTCTCGACGGAATTTGAAGACCAGATAATTCGTCGCTTGTGAAGAACGCGCGGAATTTCATATCTTCTGTGAAC